CATTCACCAACTCACTCAGCCACTTACTCACCCAATCACTCACTCACACACCCACTTACCCAATCACCCAATCACTCATCCACTCACCCATCCACACACTCACTCATTCACCCATTCACCCACTCACTCATTCACCCACTCACTCAGCCACTCACCCACTCAGCCACTTACCCAATCAATCACCCAATCACTCATCCACCCACTCATCCATTCAACCACCCACCCACTCAACCACCCACCCACTCAACCACCCATCCACTCAACCACCCACCCACTCAACCACCCATCCACTCAACCACTCACCCAATCACCCAATCACTCACCCACCCACTCAGCCACTTACCCAATCACTCAGCCAGTCACTCAGCCAATCACTCATCCAATCACTCATCCAATCACTCATCCACCCACTCACTCACCCACTCATTCACTCACCCACTCATTCACTCACCCACTCATTCACTCACCCACTCATCCACCCACTCACTCACCCACTCATTCACTCACCCACTCATTCACTCACCCACTCATTCACTCACCCACTCATTCACTCACCCACTCACCCACTCATTCACTCACCCACTCAGCCACTCACCCACTCAGCCACTCAGCCACTCACCCACTCATCCACTTACCCAATCACTCACCCATCCACCCACTCACTCACTCACTTGACTCTCACAGCCAAATTCGGCAGTCAGCTGTGAATTCCCGCGTGTCATGACGGTTGATGCTCTAGACCAGCGGCGGTGGCGGTGAGATGTTAACTCCCTCGCCTGGTGTACAGGAGGTCACGGGTTAAATTCCGACCCTGATGCCTGCTGTATATTTGGAGTTTGCATCTCTCTCTCATCCCCCCCCCCCGGTTGTTATCCTCCAAATTGAGAATCAACGTTGCGAGGTTTCAAGAGTATTCGTCTCCTGCTATAAATTCCCACGTGATGACGAGCCGCTCCATCAAGCTGTCGCGATGGCCGGTGTCACTTATGAAAATAATAAACGAAGAGCTACCTTGCAGCTAAGTTGGGGGCTTTAACTGGTAGAGTAAAAAAAAAAGTTTAAATTGCTTAAAAGTGGGACGAGCCTCATGATACAAAACTTTCGGAATATTTGGCACAGCGCAGAGCGAGGGCGGAAGCACGGGGCGGCTCTGGACGGCTCGCCGCCCTTGCACAGATGCTTACCACGAGAGCGGTCGGCCAGACGATCGTCACAGCAACCCCGGCTTCTCCTCGGGTGGCGGTGCCAGTCCCACCGCCGACCCCCACTCCCCCCCCCCGGTCCCGCCCTACTCTCTCCCGATGGCCCCCCTTTCTCCGGTACCCCCCTGCTACCGCTGCTGCTGTCCGTCCCCCCCCCCCCTCTCCGGCCCAGATGGGGGTGGTGACGGCGTTTCAGGGCGGACCCCCTTTCCAGGGGACCCTGCGGAGGCAGGCGACGGTGGCGTGTCACTACTCGCGCACGCACGACGCGGGCGGCTCCACCCCGCACCACCCGCTCCTCTCCTCCGGGGGGTGTGAGTGCTTCCTCTCGCTTCCTCCTCGCTTCCTCGTCTTCGCCGTTTGTGGACGCTCTGCCTGCCGCGCTCCTTGGGTCATCCCCTCACTTTCCGTCTCGCTGCATCTCGCTTCCCCCTCGCTTCCCCCTCGCTTCCCCCTCGCTTGCCCCTCGCTTGCCCCTCGCTTCCCCCTCGCTTGCTCCTCGCTTCCCCCTCGCTTGCCCCTCGCTTCCCCCTCGCTTGCCTCGTGCTCTCTGGGGACCTCCCCTCACTCTTGCTCCCTCTGGCCCCAACCAACTCCTCTCTCCCTGGGACCATCGAGTGCTGATTCACTTTGATTCCGCTTGATTCACCTCGCTTCGTCTCCACTCCCACCGTCCCCCTCCTCTCACAGTGCCTCCCTCTCCTGCCAACCTCCCATCATGCCCCTCTCTCCCTACACCCTCGTGCCTCCCTCTTCCTCCTCTTCTCCTCCCCCCAATGCGTTAATCTCCTTCCTCGTTTGAGTTCCCCCTCAGAGTTTCCCCTCGGTTTGAGTTTCCCCTCGGTTTGAGTTTCCCCTCGGTTTGAGTTCCCCTCGGTTTGAGTTTCCCCTCGGTTTGAGTTCCCGTCGGTTTGAGTTTCCCCTCGGTTTGAGTTTCCCCTCGGTTTGAGTTCCCGTCGGTTCGAGTTCCCCTCGGTTTGAGTTTCCCCTCGGTTTGAGTTCCCGTCGGTTTGAGTTCCCCTCAGTTTGAGTTTCCCCTCGGTTCGAGTTCCCCTCGGTTTGAGTTTCCCCTCGGTTTGAGTTCCCCTCGGTTTGAGTTTCCCCTCGGTTTGAGTTTCCCCTCGGTTTGAGTTTCCCCTCGGTTTGAGTTTCCCCTCGGTTTGAGTTTCCCCTCGGTTTGAGTTCCCCTCGGTTTGAGTTTCCCCTCAGTTTGAGTTCCCCTCGGTTTGAGTTCCCGTCAGTTTGAGTTCCCCTCGGTTTGAGTTCCCCTCGGTTCGAGTTCCCCTCGGTTTGAGTTTCCCCTCGGTTCGAGTTCCCTCTCGTTCCGACAGACATCTCGGGAAGTTTGCACGGAGTCCGATCTCTCTGTCTCTCTCTGTCTCTCTGTCTCATTCTCTCTCCTGCAGCAGTGGAGCAAGCATGATGCAATCATCGTGTCTGTGTGTAGGGTGGATTGTGTGTGCGTCACTGTGTGCCATTGCATGTGTGTGCGTGTGCGTGCGTGCATGCGTGTGTGCGTGCGCATGCGTGTTGTTTAGCTCTTGCACTTTTTGTTTTGTGTTTTTTTTTACCATCACTCGCATCACTCACACATTACCACAACCACCACCAGCACCAACATCACTCGCACAGCGCTCACACATCACTCACATCACCACCAACACTCGCATGTCACCACCACCATCGCTCGCACATCATAGCACATCACCACAAACACTAACACCACATCACCAGCATCATCACCATCACTCACATCACTTGCACGTTACTCACACATCACTCGCATCACCACCAACACTCACACATCACCACCATCACTACCATCAGTCACATCGCCACCACTACCATCACCACCATCGCGCTGGTTTTGGTTGGCATGAATTGCTGTACGAGCCATGCATCACCCTGAACCATGACCCCTAACCTTCCCCGTGCAGAACCCACAATCCCTAACCCCTAACCGATAAGCCCAATTCCAAACCCATAACCCATACCCGCTTACCATAAACCAAACCCACGGTCCCTAACTGTAATCCCTAACCTTTACAACCCTACACACGCATTACCCACAATCCCCTGACCTGTGACGCTACCCGCCATGGTCACTCTGGTCTCTAAACTGACCCCTGACCCCTAAACCCTCGCACAACTGACACTAACTTTAACACTAACCCTGAACCCGTGACTCTAACCCTGACCCGTGACCCTAACCCTGAACCTGTAACCCTGAACCCCTAACACTAACCCTGAACCTCAAACACGAACCCTAAACCCGTGACCCTAACCCTGAACTCGTGACCCTAAACATGAACCCCTAACATCTAACCCTGAACCCCAAACACTAACCCTGAACCCCTAAAACTAACTATGAACCCCTAATACTAACCATTAACCCTTAACCTGAACCCCTAACACTAACCCTGAACCCCTAACACTAACTCTAAAACCCGTGACCCTAACCCTGAACCAGTGACCCTAACCATGAACCCTTAACACTAACCCTGAACCCCTAAACCTAACCATGAACCCCTAATACTAAACATTAACCCTTAACCTGAACCCCGAACACTAACCCTGAACCCCTAACACTAATCCTGAACCCCTAACACTAACCCTGAACCTCTAACACTAACCCTGAACCCCTAACACTAACCCTGAACCCCTAACACTAACTCTGAACCCGTGACCCTAACCCTGAACCCGTGACCCTAACCATGAACCCCTAACACTAACCCTGAACCCCTAAAACTAACCATGAACCCCTAAGACTAACCATTAACCCTTAACCTTAACCCGTAACACTAACCCTGAACCCCTAACACTAACCCTGAACCCCTAACACTAACCCTGAACCCCTAACACTAACCCTGAACCCCTAACACTAACCCTGAACCTCTAACACTAACCCTGAACCCCTAACACTAACCCTGAACCTCTAACACTAACCCTGAACCCGTGACCCTAACCCTGAACCCGTGACCCTAACCATGAACCCCTAACACTAACCATTAACCCTTAACCTGAACCTGTAACACTAACCCTGAACCCCTAACACTAACCCTGAACCCCTAACACTAACCCTGAACCCCTAACACTAACCCTGAACCTCTAACACTAACCCTGAACCCCTAACACTAACCCTGAACCTCTAACACTAACCCTGAACCCGTGACCCTAACCCTGAACCCGTGACCCTAACCATGAACCCCTAACACTAGCCATTAACCCTTAACCTGAACCCCTAACACTAACCCTGAACGTCTAACACTAACCCTGAACCCCTAACACTAACCCTGAACCCCTAACACTAACCCTGAACCCCTAACACTAACCCTAAACCAGTTACCCTAACCCTGAACCTGTGACCCTAACCCTGAACCCGTGACCCAAACCCTGAACCCGTGACCCGAACCATGAACCCCGAACACTAACCCTGAACCCTTAACACTAACCATGAACCCCTAACATGAACCCCTAACACTAACCCTGGACCCGTGACACTAACCTTGAACCCATAACACTAACCCTGAACCCGTAACACTAACCCCATACTCCTCTAACCCTTAACATTAATCTCTACCCCCTAACACAAACCCCATTAACTCCTAACTCCTAATCCTTAACCGGAACACTTCCCCGCTATCTCCCTAAACCTTAACCCATAACCCCAAACCTCTACAAGTCCACCCCTAAACCCCATAAACCCCTCCTCCGTCCCCTTCACAACCGCACTTCCACAATGTCTTAACCGCCACTCCGCCGTGCTGCACCCCCTCCGTGTCCCCACCCGCCGTGCAGATCCGCGTAGTCAAAGCATTTCGTAGCTCGCTGTACGAGGACGTGGGGCGGCCCGAGACGCGCGGCTCCATCGACGACTTCATGCCCCACCCTGACTTCGACATCATGGCCGACATCCCCTCCATCGACGGCTCAGACGCTGATGAGGACGCGGAGCCGACGGCGCGCCACCACCACCACAACCACCACGACGCCACCGGGGACGGTGCCGGCGCCAGCAACGGAGTCACCGTCGCTCCCGGCTCGGGCCAGCCGGCACCGCTGGCCACCAGCGAGTCGTTCTCGTGAGGTCCGCCCGGCGCCGGCCTAACCCCGTCCGGCCCCTGCCGCCGCCGATCGCCGTGTTGGCGGCCGTCCGGCGCAGCGGCCGTGCGGCGACAGAACGTTCTCAAGGTCGCCGGCACGGCCAGGCTACGACGGCTGCGTGGCCCTCTACCTTTGACCCCTCAGCCCCCCCCCCCCGCACACCCCCCAAGGGTGTCGGTGGGGGCTATGGGGTCACCACGGCGGGGTCACCACGGCGGGGTCACCACGGCGGGGTCACCACGGCGGGGTCACGGTTGAGTTTGGCCGAGCGGGCGAGCGGCCGGGTCCGTCACGGTCGCCATGGTGGTCGTGTTCGGCGGGCGCCCCTCCCCCCACTCACCCCTCCTTCCACTGCTCCATTCCCCCCCACTGTGGTAACACGACGAGGACGATGATGGTGACGATGACGACGACGACGACGATGATGATGATGGTACCTTCAAACCGTGAGCGCCCCCCTTGTTAGTTCTGCGGCCCCCTGGAGGTGGCGAGTGCCCCCCCCCCCCCCCCTGGTTGGGCTCCTCGCGTGTCCGGGCGTCCTGCAGCCACCAGAGGGCGCGACAGACGCAGACTCCACACAGCTACGGGTGGATCGCTCCACCCCGAACACCCCCTCAAGCCCCAACATCCCCTACAGCCCCTACACCCTCTAGACCCCCCTAACCCCACACCCTCTAGACCCCCATAACCCCACACCCTCTAGACCCCCCTAACCCTACACCCCCTAACCTCTACACCCCTAACCCTAATTGCCACCCCTAATCCTAATTGCCACCCCTAAACAGGGGGTGGGGGGCAGCGCTGTGGGGATCTGCAGGTTGGGGGCGGCCGTGGTCTGGGTACGATAACCCCTGAGCTTGAGCTGTGGGGTGAGAGTTCGACACAGGCACCTGGTGCACAGGGGCGTGCATGCGTCGCATTCACAGGATATGCAGTATGTGTGTGTGTGTGTACCCAGTGTGTGTGTGTGTACCCAGTGTGTGTGTGTGTGTACCCAGTGTGTGTGTACCCAGTGTGTGTGTGTGTACCCAGTGTGTGTGTGTGTATACCCACTGTGTGTGTGTGTGTACCGTGTGTGTGTACCCAGTGTGTGTGTGTGTACCCAGTGTGTGTGTGTGACTTTACCCAGTGTGTGTGTGTGACTTTACCCAGTGTGTGTGTGTGTGTACCCAGTGTGTGTGTGTGTATACCCGCTGTGTGTGTGTGACTTTACCCAGTGTGTGTGTGTGTGTACCCAGTGTGTGTGTGTGTAGCCAGTGTGTGTGTGTGTGTAGCCAGTGTGTGTGTGTGTACCCAGTGTGTGTGTGTGTATACCCACTGTGTGTCTGTGTACCGTGTGTGTGTGTGTACCCAGTGTGTGTGTGTGTACCCAGTGTGTGTGTGTGTACCCAGTGTGTGTGTGTACCCAGTGTGTGTGTGTGTGTACCCAGTGTGTGTGTGACTTTACCCAGTGTGTGTGTGTGTGACTTTACCCAGTGTGTGTGTGTATACCCACTGTGTGTCTGTGTTCCCAGTGTGTGTGTGTGTACCCAGTGTGTGTGTCCCCAGTGTGTGTGTGTGTGTACCCAGTGTGTGTACGCAGTGTGTGTGTGTACCCAGTGTGTGTACCCAGTGTGTGTACCCAGTGTGTGTGTGTGACTTTACCCAGTGTGTGTGTGTGTGTACCCAGTGTGTGTGTGTACCCACTGTGTGTGTGTACCCAGTGTGTGTGTGTACCCACTGTGTGTGTGTACCCAGTGCGTGTGTGTGTACCCAGTGTGTGTGTGTGCCCAGTGTGTGTGTGTGTGTGTACCCAGTGTGTGTGTGTACCCAATGTGTGTGTGTGACTTTACCCAGTGTGTGTGTGTGTGTACCCAGTGTATGTGTGTACCCACTGTGTGTGTGTGTACCCAGTGTGTGTGTGTGATGTGGTAGTTTAGTCCCACATTGGTGCAAGCCGGGGCATCAGGTGTGCCGGGCGGGGTTAGGGGTTCGGGGTCAGGGGTTAGGGGTCAGAGTTGGGGGCATTTGACGTCTCTCCGGGGTCCCTGGTCCCCTTCGCAACGCCACGTAAGGCCCCGGTGGGGGCCCCTCACGGCCCCCACTCGCATTCAGCCACCACATACACCACACACCACATACCACATACCACATACACACACCACATACACACACCACACACACCACATACACACACCACACACACCACACACCACATACACACACCACGCACACCACATACACACACCACATACACACACCACACACACCACATACACACACCACACACACCACACACACCACATACACACCACGCACACCACATACACACCACATACACACCACATACACAACACACATACACCATATACACACCACATACACCACACACACATACACCACACACCACATACACACATCCCACACGCGCACACACCACACACCACAACACGCACACCACACACCACACACACACACCACACACACGCCATACACACCACACACACCACACACACCACACACACACCACACACACACCACACACACGCCATACACCACACACACGACAGGACATTTGCTCGTGTGATTGGTCGAGGCGGCCACGCTCATGCCGCTGCTTGCTGAATGCCGGCCCGAGTCTGCGTGTCACTACAATCCCCACGCCGTGCACAGTCGTCTGCCTGCTGCTGCTGCCTGTACGCTGCTCCATGCTTGTATCTACCCCACGTCTCCCCCCGCGTCCCCTCCCCCCCCACGTCTCCCTCCCCCCCACGTCTCCCCCCCCCTACGTCTCCCTCCCCCCCCCCACGTCTCCCCCCCACGTCTCCCTCCCCCCCCCCGCGTCTCCCTCCCCGCGTCTCCCTCCCCCCCACGTCTCCCCCCCCCACACGTCTCCCCCCCACGTCTCCTCCCACGCACGTCTCCCCCCCACGTCTCCCTCCCCCCCCCGTCTCCGCCCCCCACGTCTCCCTCCCCCCCACGTCTCCCCCCCCCCCACACGTCCCCCCCCCCACACGTCTCCCCCCCCCACACGTCTCCCCCCCCCCACACGTCTCCCCCCCACGTCCCCCTCCCCCCACACGTCTCCCCCCCCACACGTCTCCCCCCACGTCTCCTCCCACGCACGTCTCCCTCCCCACGCCTCCCCCCCACGTCTCCCTCCCTCCCACGTCTCCCCCCCACGTCTCCTCCCACGCACGTCTCCCTCCCCCCCCCCCCACGTCTCCCCCCCACGTCTCACCCCCCCCCCCCCCCCGCCGTATGCTCATCAACCACGCGACACCGGGCGACCTTAACAAGGGAAACATCTTGGGCGACGTTTCAGGCAATGACCTTTCTCCATGGCACACGGGGGGGGGGGGGGGGAGCAGTATCCAAGGACACTGCCAACGGCACTCGGCCGCCACCGTCTATGACGACGACGATGATGACAAAGTGATAATTATAATACAGTTATAATTATAATAAACGTATTAATTATAATAAACTTCAGTAGCGACGAGGACTCAACGCCTTTGTTTGACCAACTTCGTCTCCCAGAGTGCACGTGGGCAGCTCAAATCGGCTTTCGGAGTGGGGGGAGCAACAAATAGGCGGCGCAGCGCGACGGATGTTGTACTGCACTCAAGCGCAGTACAACATCGGGGTCAAGGGCGCTCAGGTGGCAGCCGCCTCGGGCGAGGGCTCCGCTCATCCAGCAGTGGATGAGCGGAGCCCTACGCGGCGCGCGGGGCCCTACGCGGGGGCTGGTGGCCAGCGGCACGGAGACACACACGGACGGACCCACACGCACACACAAGGGTATACACCCAACACCCCCTTGCTGTACTTCCACCATCCGTCAACATAGCACGCTGGGACACTGCAGGGCGCTTCGTGCGACACTGCAGGGGGCTTTACCGGTGGCGTTGTCTCTGGTCTCCGCTGTTCTGGTTTTGTTTGAATTCCTCGCATTATCTCACTGATTGGTGAACTGGCTGATTGGTGAACTCACTGATTACTGGACTCACTGATTGGTGAACTCACTGATTACTGGACTCACTGGTGGACTCATTGGTTGGCGAGTTCGCTAATTGACTCATTTATCTGATCGATTACAAAAGCACGAATCCATAGAGGTCCAGTTGTGGAAATTCCACATTCCTATGACGGGGCCGAGTAAATCTCTATTGAACTCTCCTATACATACACACACAAAGTGGTACTCATGTTATCGACACTGAGAGGGAGGGCAGGATGATGGGCTGAAGCACCCAGCCGCCGGCTGTAGGTGCGGCTGTAACGCTACACACAAAGGACGCACAAAGACGCTCACAAACACTCCCACAAAGACACAAAGACACACGCAAACAAAGATCCCCCGTATAGCCTTAATAGACTGTAGGGGCAATTGCTGTTAGCGAGCACCTATGAAGACCGGAACGGTACACGAGGGGGTTGGTGGCCAGCACCACGCCCGACCTCCTTAGTCTCCCCAGTGGCGATGTTTAGTACCAGGTACTCATTTGAGTCTGAGTCGACCTAGGGGAGGCCCAGGACCGGTTCCGTTAATCGCCACTGGTGTTGGCCGTGAGCGGGAATCGAACCCGGGTCGCCAGGTTCATAGCGCAGCGCGCTAACCGCTCCCCACTGACACACACACTGACATACACTGACACACATACTGACACACATACTGACACACTCACTGACACACACTGACACACACACACTGACACACCCGTCCAGTCCCCTGCCTGTAATGTTCCGCGTGACGGGGTTTGATCCCCGCTTGGGGTGGGGCTCCTTTCGCTTCTGTTTGCCTTTTGCTTGTTAACGTTTTAACACGTTTTTAATTATTATTATGATTATTATAATGTCTATGATGATGATGTTGATGATGTTCGAGTTTTTTCGGGTGGGGGGTTTTTTTGACTTTGAGAAATAAATAACAACAAAAAAATTCAAACTTAGAAGAAAAAATATATTGTTACGGAAAATGTTATAACGATTACGAGAGAGGGTGGAGGAGGAGGTGGACGAGGTGGTGGAGCAGAGGGGTCGGGGTCACCTCCCAGCTGGTGGACTATTTTACACGTGGTGTGGACACGTCAACAACAACAAGAAGCGGGTAGAGCAACGGGTACACGACGACACCCGCATAAGGACGAATTGAGACGACACAAATCAGTCAACAAAGACGAGTCAACAAAAACAAGTCAACAAAAAGAAAGTCAACAAGTCGGACCGGTAAACAGGCGTCAACACGCTGGATCCGCGTGTTCCTCAGACGCCGTTCCAAGGACATGTGGTCGTGCGTCACGTGACCTCCAGGCCTTGTTGGAGCCCACGTGGTGATGACGATGACGACCACGATGCTGGAAGGCGATGAGTTCACCACGTGGCCCGGGTGTGGGGAGGGGGACCCCCACAACTGGAAATCCGGGGGCCTGCCGCTGCTGTTCGTGGGGGTGTACCGCCCCCCCCCCCCCCCCCATCTTGCGTTCAAAGGGACATCGTCTTGACTCTACGGCGGGGATCGCAAGGGGATGTGTGGGCCCCCTTATGTGGTCCTCAAGGGGGATGCCAAGGGGATGAGCGTGTCACTAGAGGGGACCTTAAAGGATCTCCCAGATATCCAGCGGGTGGGTTCCAAAGGGATGGACACGTCCATTAAGGGGATTCTGAAGGGACTCTTGGATTGACCAGGGACTAGACAGGAACCCGAGCTGGTCCCCTTCAGCCTGGGTGGAGGGGAGTGGGTGTTCGGGGTATCCCCTTTATCCCCTGTAACCCCCCCAGTGGTGTTTGCTTTCCGAATCGTCTCAGAGGCGAAATTAGATCCTGTTCGACTCCGATGATGTTAATTCTCGCGAATCCAATTCGATTCTCCCCCCCCCACCCTTCTACTCCAATTTTAAATCGGAATCTGACCCCCCCCCCCCATACGACCCCCGCCCCCCCCCCCCC